AATTGGAGAAGAAAATGGGGCAGAGGAATTACGGAAGCCATTAGAGATGGAGAGAGCTTTGTATGATTGAAGGCCATTAAAAAAAATAAGGAACGAACCAAAAAAAAAAAAAGAAAAAATGAAGTTCTTTTTGCAGAGGGGATAGAATTTATTTATTTATTTATTTTAATTTGTTTGGGGTTAAATGTGAAAAGACGGAAAAGGTGTCGAAAGGGTAACGTGAAGGGGCGAGGCGTGCGACACGTGTTGGATGTAGGATGATTTGGGTCGCGGCACGTGGTTGAGACAAGCAATTTTCGAGGATAGACCTTACGATTTTTTTTTTTATTTTTTTTAAAGTGCCTTTTAATTATATTTATTTATTTAAAGGAACAAAACAAGTGTCTGTCTGCACCTCTCCTACCTTCGGCTCTCTCTTTTCGACACGTCGCTACTACTATTTATTTTTTAATATAAAAAATTATTATTCTTTTTGTATTTCTTTTTTGGTGTGTGTGTAATTTAATATAAGCTCGGGTTCAATAAGAGCATGCTTGGATACAAAATTATCTCAAAAAAATCCAAACATTTTTAACTCAATCATTTTTTTAACTCAACCCCACTATCATTAATATTATCGATATAATTAAATAATATCAAATCAATCATTATTACACACCACATCACCTTAATTTACTATTCATCTACTCACATATTTTTAACTAACAATCACTTCAAATCTCATCTCTCTTACTTTACATCAAATCAACTTCAATCATTTAATTTTAAATATTATTTTAATATATCAACTAATTACTAATCATACCAACTTTTCAAAACTAATCAAACCAAACAAAAAAATCCAAACAAAACCAAAAATTTTTATATCCAATCATCCTCTAAATATTCCTCCCAAAATCATTATTGAATGGAAAAATTCAAGTTTTTTTTTAACTATTTCTAAACGTTTTTAGTGTAGTTTGTGAATATCTACAAGATGGATTAAGGAGAATAAAGAAAATAAAAATAAAATTAAAGTCGAGGCACGTAATAGTCAAGTTCTCCTTACGGTGAAATTGTCCAGGAAGATACTACGGTTAATGGCAAATGTCTCCAAGATACAACGATTTTCGACTTGTATATAACAGTACTTTGAATATATAAGCTTTCGGCGAACACTTTTATTGTTTGAAACCTTCAAGACTCAAAGAACAAATCAAAGAACACAATTTGTTTTATGAACTTTGAAAATGTAATGCAAGAGCTATTAATTTTTCGAATTGTGAATAATTTTAAGTATGTGGGTAATTTTAGTAGGAAAACACCTCCAAAAAATTTAAGTGCCAAAAAACACATTTTGAGACAAACCCGAAAGAGAACGGATGCATTTAGAGGCCAAAAGACACCTTATGGTCACCAAAGGGCTCGACCTTTCGTTGGCCACTGCTAGCTACGCGTCCGTGCGTTGTGGGCTCGTACGAGCTCATTCGGGCTCGGAATCTAGTTGCGTTTGTTCCTACTCATGCTCAGCGAACTCTTCTAGAGTTATAACATGCAAGCTACATGATCATATCTCATTTGGATTATCCTAACATTCGTCAAAAACAGAATGTTTTACGAATCAAATAATATGACACTACAAGAAAATGATGAAATTCCAACGGAAATATATTTCAAAGAATTATTCCAACGGCAATTCCAACGGATATTTCAATACTATTATTTCCGTTGGAATTTTTCAATGGATTCCAACGGAAATCCAACGAAAATATTCTGTAGGAATGAGTTTTCCATTGGAATTTTCGTTGGATTTTGACGATTCCAACAGTGGATTTTCCAACGGGGGTGGAAAAAAAAATTCCAACGGAATTTGCATATTCCAACGGAAATTCTTACGGTAAAAAGCCGTTGGAATTAATCATCAAATTCCATCTAAAATTCCAATGAAAAACACATAAATATTCCGTTGGAATTTCTGTTGGAACTATTCCAACGGAAGCTATTCCATTGGAATATCCGTTGGAATTTCTATTGGAATTTATTACCATAGGATTTTCCGTTGGATTATAACATTTATTTTGTAGTGTGAGTTACTTAAACTCAATTACTTCAACCTTACATTTCCCCACATATACAACTTAAAATTAATTTCTCATTAACATAAAAAATATTTTGATAATTTTCTAAGTCTTCCACTTACAAAAATAAAACCGTTAGATCAGTACAAAACCAATTTTTCTTACCTTTCGGAGATTATGAGGAATTATCAAGTGCCTTTTAACATCTCAAACGTTAAATTACCACGTGACCACTAGTTGGACATTCTATGATCTAAGGATTTTTCCTTTAGTGATGGATAAAACACTGCATGATTGAGAGTCTAACATACATTCCACTTAGAATCACTTTATTCAAATACTTGCTCATCATAGCAAATGTTTGTATTCAGTTTTCAACTCAATTTTAGTTCGTTGGAACTTCGTCACTGGTGTGCTCTCTTAAGGAAACACAAAATTCGAATCCGTAAGCATTAGACTTACACATAAAAATTTGATTAAAATAGTAAGAACGAAAATTATGCATTTTTATGTTGTAATCCTAACAATTTGAACCTTTAATTTCAGGTTTTAGAATTTCGTGACATGGTTTGGCTATAGACATTGATAAGTATCAATAAGTGGTCAGACAAATATCAGCAAAACTTTAAGAATGGTCCACTATGTTGGTCATTTTTCGAAAAAGATCCATTACACAGGGCGCTATTGAGAATGGTCCACTAAGTTGTCGTTTTCATCAAAATTCATACCAAAACTAAGATAGTGTACTAAAGGTAATAGTGGGTTTTAGTACATTATGCTGAATATTGTACGAGTTTTGATTATAAAGTGACAACTTAGTGAACCATTATTAACGACACTCTATATGATAGACCATTTTGAAAAAATGATCAATATAATGGACTAAAAATGAAATTTAGCCGACAATTATCAATCAATATCTCTAGACTCTAATAATATTCATTCAACTCAGATGATCATGAAAATGTACATCGTATGAATAATTAAAAATCTATTTGATTGGGGTCACCGGTTCAGATTGTACTAAACCGGTCTACACTTTTATGTTTTTTAAACCGAAAAAATAGAAATAAAAATAAAATGAAGAAGGGACAGTTGAGTATACAAGTGGGCGGACTTGACAACATTATCGTCTGACCAATTGTCCCCACCAAAAAGGATTTTGAAATAAAATAAAAAAATATATATATATATTTTTTTTAATGTTGTGCAAGTTGCTCAACAAGTGACCTTATAGTTTAATTCCACGGGGCAACTAAAATAATAAAAGTTATTCCCAAAAAACACAGCGACATTTGAGAATTACATTAAAGGAGATTTTCTTACTCATTTTTATTTTTATTTTTTATTTTTAATTGTGATGTTAACAACAAAACCAACTTGTTTGAATATGTGTACATTATGGTTTGATAACAACAGGACCAAGTTGCCTCATTAGGTTATAATTTCTAGGGAGAGATTTATAGCAAACCTAAATGAATTTTGTTGTAAATTTATTTCTCACATACTCTATTCATTCATAAATATATTTCTTTCTAGGAATAAAAGACAATTAACTATTCATATATCTATTATTTTTTAATCAAAATTTCTCAAACTATATATATTACCATATTAGGAAATATTACTTTATTCTTTTTATATTAATATTTTAATTTTTTGTAGATACTTCATAGTTCAACTCATCTTCTTTTTTTTTTCTTGAAGATTTTTTTATACCATATAGTTGGACAATCCCGATCTTCTATCCACGATCGACACTACTTAGGGTGTGCTTGTTTACAAATTAATTCACTCAAAATGAGGTTTTTTAGTTAATCAGATTTAATTTTAAAAAAGTTGATATGATTAGTTGTTAAGTAATTTTAAGTTTATATTAAAATAATATTTAAAATAAAATAATTAAAATTAATTCGATACAAAAATATGAGAGTTGATGTGAATTGATGGTTAGTTAAAATTACGTGAGTTGATAAATAGTAAATTAAAGTTAACATGATCCGTAAAAATGATTGATTGATATTATTTAATTATTAATAATATTAAAAATAGTGTAAATGAATTAAACTTGATTTACATTTTAATTACGAATTTTTAGTATAAATTGAAATAATTTATAAACAAAAACACATTGCTTTCAATGTTGTACCCCAATTTAGACTTGGTAAATACTAATTTACTACTACCTAAGACTTCACATATTTGGTTTTTTTTTTAAATATAGGTGGGATGATATTATAAAATAATACTCCATAATATAGGGGTAGGCCCCGCGGGGCATCAAGTTGTGCCTTTACGGAAGGAGAGGGGTGTCCTTCCAACACGTGGAGGTGTTTGCTGAGTCCAACACGTGTCGACCTTTGATGGCATGTGTACAGCTAAGCAGCTGTCGCAACTTGCTGATGATGACGTGTGAAGGAGTGTAAAGGATATGAAGTACAGCAGATTTCCCCGTCACGTGGGCCCCACTCGCTCAGCTCGAAAAAAAATAAAGGAGGACACGAGTATGTGGACCCCGTCCCTATAATTTATTTTATTTATTTATTTTTTTTTTTTTTACATTTCATTTTTCTTTTGTTTATTGTAATATTCTTGTTTTTGTACTTTCTTCACCAACTTTCCTTCTAATGTCTACCTTTTTTTCATGGGCTTTTCTACAGTCAGGTACCCTTGTACTTTGACTTGTACTTACCTAACAACAGGTACCTTTTAAATTAACA